CCCAGGCCGCAAGGTCCCTGCCCCATCAGAGACAGGAGGGCACAGTCTGAGCCCCTCGAGGTGGCACTGCTTGTATCTCCTTCTCCCTTATTCCTCTCTCCTTAGGACTCAGAGGATGCTCTGAGGTGGAGAACACATAATGGCACTGATTTGGAACTTATGTATGATAGTCTTTGTCATAGGTATAATGGTTCCAGATGTAACCAAATAGCTTAGAGGAAGAAAATAGCTCTTTCCCCAGACTTTCCTTGGGAGAGAGAGAGAGAGAGAGAGAGAGAGAGAGAGAGAGAGAGAGAGAGAAGGCTCTTGTGGTCCTTCCTCTTCTTATCAGAATATTAATCCCATCACAGGGGCTCCACCCTCAGGAAAGGCCATGGGAGCCCACAGTCACCTATATAAGTAGGGATTGTATTGGCTGCAAGGGACAGACCTGAACCACTGGTGACCTACTGTAAAGGCTTATTTCTGCCTCCTGTGGGAGATGAGGTCAGGCAGTCCAGTGGCTCCTCAGATGCCCCCGGGCCACAGTATTCCCCCCCCCCCCCCCCCCCCCCCATCTGCTATACCATCTACAAAGCTAAACCATTTGAGAGGTAGAGTTGAAATAGAAAAGAATAAGGACTGATCAGAATACTCAGAGTAAGTGTACCTTCTGGGTGATTGTGGTCTATATCTATCCCAGAAAAGCTAAGGAAAACAACAGCATCCCTCCCGCCCCCCACCAATGAGTTTCATATGCATCTCATGGGTCAATTCTTGTCATAGGGGGGCTGAGGAATATCGTAATTTAGCTGAGCATATTACTGCCCCCAATACAATGGAGGTGTTATTCCCAGGGAAGATGCGGGGAGGACATTGGACAGGGAAGCAGTAGTCTCTGATACTTTCCCCAGAACACCAGATTCTGGTGGGGACAGCGTTCTAAAGGCTGGTGAATGGCGGCAGTGTCCTTCTCTGAGACAGGTGATGGGGAAGAGGAGGGGGATGAGTTCCATTGGGGCAGGTTGCATTTAAGCTGCTGGAAGTCTGAAGGTGAAGGTTTTTGTGGCAAGCAGAATAATGCCTGCCCCCCTTCCCCGCCCCAAAGATGTCTCTGTCCTCATCCCTGAAACGTGTGAATAAGTTGCCTCACGTGGCAAAAAGGAATTTGCAGGTGTGATTAAGTTAAGGGGTGAATTGTGTCCCCCACCAAATTCACACTGAAGTGCTGAGCCCAAGGACTTCAGAATATGACTGTATTTGGAGACAGGGCCTGGAAAGAGGTAATTCGGTTAAAGTGAGGTCACTGGTGGGCACAAATTTACATACCGGTGTCCTTATAAGAAGAGGGAATTAGGACACAGGCGTGTACAGAGCGAAGGCCATGTGAAGGCACAGGGAGGAGGTGGCTGTCTGCACGCCCTGCCGACACCTTGATCTTGGACTTCTAGCCTCCAGAATCGTGAGAAAACCAGTATCGGTTGTTGAAGCCCCTACCCAGTCTGTGACACACGTGGTGGCAGCCCTGGCGAACTAACACCAGGCTCTGAAAGCGGGGAGGTGGGCGAGGGCTATTGAGGTGGCCCAGCAGGACCACCAGGTCCTTCTAAGGGAAGCAGGAGAGTCAGAGAAGGAGGCATAGTGACGGAAGCAAAGGCCGGACTGATGTGATTGCTGGCTCGGAAGGTGGAGGAGGGGGTCACCGGCCAAGCAGTGTGGCAGCCTAGAAGCTGGAAAAGCAAGGAGCCGATTTTCCCAGGAGCCCCCAGCAGGAGCGCAGCCCCACCTGCATCTTGATTTGAGTGCCTCCTGTGAGATCCGTTTTGGACTTCTGACTTTCAGAATGATGAGGTCATAAACTGGACACTACATTTTAAATAAACTTTTAATTTATTTTTTAATTTGAACGACTACGTTGATGATGATTTTCTTTACAGCAGCCACAGGAAGCTGACACATCTTCTAACAGGCATTTAGACACTGAGGATCGATGGGGAGTCACCAGCACACAGAACAACTGGAGCCCTGGTCCTGGAAGGAACCATTTGGAGCAGGAGAGCAGGGAGGAGAGAGGGGTCTAGGGAAGGACCCATAGGGAGACACGTCCAGGAAAGGACAGACCACACTGTTGCTTCTCGATGGCAGGGTCTCCGGACAGACTTGTGCCAGGGGCTATGTGGGCTGGTGTGGCCCCTGGTGTTGTGTGCAGTCTGCGTAGATGGAAACCTCAGACAGGAGCTGGCCACAGGCTCAGGGTCCCGATGGGGCAGGAGGTAGGGCCTGGATATACGATGGCCTGGTTTAGCAGGGTCTAGGAGGCCAGGTCCAAGGCCCATCAGTGACTCCTCTCTTGTCTTGAGTGGGGCAGGGACGGTCTTTTGAAAAATGGGGAACAGGACAAATGTCCCACAGCACCTCTCCCTGCGGGAAGACTTGGAGTCCAGCAGCTCCAAGCCCTTGAGAAATGACACTGGATCTTGACTGCTGTCCGGTTCCGGGTACTCCCACGAGAGGTGACCTTGAACTGTTGAGGGGTTATGAACTTGGCCTACAATGTGATGGAAAGGCACAGTAGCCAGGGCCAGGCAGTTCCAAAGCCTCCTGCTGGTCACAGGAGAGTCTGGCCTGTGGGACAAAGGCTGGACCAAGGCCCCCGCCTCTGACGGTGTCACTCGTGCTGGTGGTTGGAGACCCCCATTCCTGCCTCTGACCATTCACATGGCAGAAAACCAGCAGTTCAGGGGATGAGAACATCGGACCTCAGAGGCAACTTTGGGCCTCAATCTCTGATCGGTTGCTTATGGGCTGTGAGACCTGGGACAAGCTCCTTACTTTTCTGAGCTGTGATTGTTTCTCTGTAAAATGTGCTAAAAAGGACTGGATGTGGGGGGGAGCGAAACCTATGTGAATGCCCCCCACTGGGTGCTGGCCCCTCAGAATGCTGGGTCTGCCTGGCTGCTGCCTCCTTGTGTCCCCCTGGCTCCTGGCCACTTTCCCGGGTGGTGTTCTGGGCCCCCGATTGCTTCATCCTCCCAGCCTGCCCCCACCCCCAGCTCCGTTCTTACTTGTCCTGCCCTGCCATGACCTAGCGCTTCTGCTCCCCCTCAGAAGCCTTTGGGCTGACTGGGTGGGGTAAGGGTGTGGCCTGTGGGGCCAGGCTGCCTGGATTCAGTCCTGGCTGGGTGTGGTCCTAGCTCCGTGGCCCTGTGCCTCACTCACTCTCCTGTCAAGGGGAATGATGGTGGTGGTACCCCAGGCCCCGGGCATTTGGAAAGGATTAAGTGAGTTTATGCATAGAGTGCTTAGAGCAGCCCCTCGTACATGGTAAACACCCACGGAATGTTTATTCCTTACAACTGGAGCCTTCCTCTGTTCTTCCAACTCCACTGCAGAATGTCTCTGCCAGGTGCCTCTTAACCTCTCTCCTCCTGCCCCTTCTCACAACCCCCAACCCTGCCTTCCCCACTACCCAAGCCCCCTGGCACCCAGAGGTGTCCCCCAGAGGCCTTGCCATACTCAGGCAGCTCCCTGGCCCACAATTAATACAGACACGCTTGGGGCTCTGGGTTAGTTTTCCAGGGGCCTCCGATCTTGGCAGGTGGAGATAGTGACGATGGGTGGGTGTGGAGGGCAGGCGGGTGGGGCGTAAGATTGATGGTGCTACAGGAGTGGAAACAGGAATAACACACTGCTCGCCGTGCAGACCTAGCACCACCCTCTTGTTTTCCCTCAGAGGACAGGGCAAGCTGGGACAAGCAGAAAGTCAAGGACATAGGGAATCTGGTCAGAGCCCAGTGAAGAGAGTCGGGATGCAGACCTAGAGGGGCAGAGAGGCTGGGCTGGGAGAAAGGGGGGCTTAGGAGGAAGGAGGAGGGCATGAGGAGCCCGGGAGCTGAACTGCCACCCTTGTGCTTGTTCCTGGGAACAGTGACAGGCTGGCCTGGGTGCTGCCTGCCCCCCCCCCCCCCCCCCCCCGCCATGTCTCCTGGACCACTGACTCATTCGGATGCTGCCTTTTCTGCCTCTATTGTGGCCTCCCTACTGGACAGATGGGATGGAGAGTAGGGTCATCAGCTCCTGTGAGGCCCCCGAGGAACCATGCATAAAACCCACCCTGCCCCCTTTCTCCTGGGCAGCTCCCGGGTGGGGGAGCGGACATGTGGTGATGAGAGGGGCAGCTTAGAGGAATGAATGAGTGGACCCAGTCCCAGGAATTCTGGTAGAGCAGAATGAAACAGCAGGCACTGTTAAATAGAAGTAGAATTCACTGGTAAGTAGCATGCTGAATACAATTCAACATGACATCAATTCCTTTAGGCCTCAGATTCAATTGCTCTCTCCGGGGAGAAGAGCGATGGGGCATAATGCAATCCAGCTGGCTGAGCAGGGATGCTGGCCCTTCTCCGACCCGCGGGCATAAACGCGGTCATGTGGTGGAGCTTTGGGCAGAGACGCGGCATCTGACCTGGGCTGTATTCACAGGCCAGGCACACCCATACCTCAGGCTTCCAGGGTGAGGCTTTGGCAAAACCCTTTAACGTGACGCTGGCGGGCTCCTAGGCCCACAGCCGTATAGGGGGTTGCATGATACTTGGGGAGCTGTCCTCAAGAAGGGTGCATGACGCTTGGGGAGCTGTCCTCAGAGCTTTCCTGTCTGAAAAACTAGCTTGAGGTGCAGGGAATGTGGGCAAGTATCGCTGCAGACTGCAAGGGAGTCCAGAGCTTGGACACTTTCTAGAGTCCTGGCTGTCCCCGAACTTCCTTCCACTAAGACATGGTGGTAGTGACATCCACCTGGGGCCTCCTCCCACAGCTCTGCCCAGACGACCAGCTTTCGGGCAGATGAGTCAAGACACAGGGAGTGTGGATTTCCGTTGAGCTAGCTGGGAGACCACCACCGCATTTGCTCCCCTGCGAGAAAGCATCAAGGAATGTAGGAGCTGCGTTTCCGTAGTGTAGTGGTTATCACGTTCGCCTCACAAGGAATGTAGGAATGACATGACAGGGCCACTACTGAACCTGCCTTCACGTCAGAGAAAGGAAATGATCTGCAAGCCGGTCACTGGGGGCACCGGAACTACAGTTAGTGGCATAGCACTTGCAACACCCCAGGGTTGATCCTGACCCCCTGTGTGCAGGGGCAGGTGGGCTAAAGGAACTGGCCACTCTGAATGAGCGACATGACCATTCTGGGTGAAGCTCAAAGTCCACCAGCCCCCTGAACTCTGGCTCCTTAGGTAAGAAGGGTACCGGATGCCCTCATGTCACAGGTACCTGCCTTCATGGAATTTCCCAGGATGCAGGGGAAACCAGGTAGAGATGCCTGGAGGACTGTTGAGAGAAAGGTTGCCATGGTGACCAGGAGGCCAGAAGACTAAGGAGTGAAGGGAGGCAGCTCAAGCCCAGGCTGAGTGCAGGGCAGGACACGTTTCCCTCCCAGCTCCTTATCCGTGCTCTCCACTGGCCCTGGCCTGACCTAGGGCGGCGTGGTGGCAACCTGTCTCAGGTACCCCTCCTCGTCTGTCACCCGAGGGTCTCTGGCCTTGGGAGCACCTTCCACGTGGGTGCTGTTTGGCAGGCCCTCAGGAGACGCCCTTCCAGTCTCCCACACACCCCCGAGGCCCTCGGTGTGTCCCAGGAGAAGCTGTCCTGAGGCACTTGGGGGAGAAGCAGCCACGGGGAAGGGCAAAGTGCAACATTTGGGAGGTCAGAAGAGTTTCTATGCAGTTTCCTAAGTGTTATCATGCTCCCTCCCCCATCCAGCTTACAAAGACAGTTCCTGCTGCCCTAGATGCTGCTCCTTCCTCCTCTTTGCTAGCGCTCGTTTTCCTTTTGTTCCCATATTGAATGATGGGGACTCCAGCAACCTCTATGTCCTCTCTCAAGTCTGGGTTAGATGTCCCCTCCTGCTGCCACACCCACCCACCTTTCTCCATCACGTACACAGCCCAGGGTATTGCAGTGCCTGCTGGCCGGGCTGTATCTCACATTTTGGGAAGAAGACTAGAGCAGGAACATGTCTGTCTGTTCCCAGCCCAGGGCCTGGTCCATAATATATGTTTGCTTGTTTGGTGGGTGGGGGAAGGGAGACAGATTTTTGAAACGGAATTCCGTCTCTGGAAATCGACAGACCATTCAAATGTGGAATTCTATCCTCTTAGTTTTGATTCTAAATGGCGGTGAAGGAGAGAGCAATCTTATAGAATCCCTCCGAAGCTCATCGTTGCTGTTCTAGAATCAAGGGTAAGGACAAAGAGGATGTTAGGGCCACATGCACTTGTCCTTGGCTAGTTGGCAAGCTCAGAGGGGAGAGTCCTCAAGGAGAAGGAGTTAGAAGGTCAAGGAGAAACTGTGACACCCCTAGCACACCCCACCGACTCTGTGAATACTGTGTAACTGAGACAACTTCCTCGGCTGGCTGACCCAGCTTGTCCAGGGGGATCGTGGCTTCCCCAGCTCCTTCACTGTTCACTCTTTGGAATGTTTGATACTTGTGACTTGTCTGGTCTCTTGAAATGCAAGTCAATATCTCACCCATGAGCCGGGCTGGCAAACCCAGCGGTCAGAAGTCAGCCCCCTCTCCCCTCTCTGAAGGACCACTGTTGGTCAGTTTGGTTCTAGAAGGATGCAAATGTGAATCTAGCTCAGGCACTCAGCTCTGTAAACATGAGGCTCTCCTTGGGGCATAGCCCACCCCAAGGAATTTCCCAACATGCATAGCACTTGGCAGAGGGAGTTAGCTGAGTGACTCCTGAATGCATGACAGGGAATGGGAGCCATGAAAGGGGATGGCTGCGGGCAGGATCTAGGGGAGCATCGGTGATAAGACACTAAATGGATGCATCCAGCAATGCGCCCTCACTACATGGAGGGTGGAGTCCCGAGCTCTCTGTTTCCCTCAGATCCTGGAAGTGGGATCACTTTTATGGCAAACCCCACCACCAAGGTGATGGGCTGTTGGATGTTGGTCATCAGATCTCCTCCTGGTTGAGGTGCAGGACGAGGGGAGGCCAACAGGGGAGGCCACCATCAGCGATTTAAGAAGAAGGACCGGATGCTCTGGAAGAACATGGACTTCTGCCTCTGCTTCTGTTTCTTCTTGATGATGGGCACCCACACCAGCCCGCACACCATCATCATGAGTCCCAGGGACAGGAACGCAGGCCCTGTCATCTTAAGGACCTTAAGGCTCATATCACCCAGAGTCAGGGTGTAGGCCAAGCAGGTGATGGCCACGCCAAAGAGGAGGATGGCGCCGCCCACGGACATGATGACGATGGGCTTGCGGTAGATCTCCCAGTTACTCCTGGGGGCTTCGGTCCAGACAGACTCACTTCTGGAGCTGATGCACAGCGAGCTGGCAGTCTGGCTGGGCAGCAGGTCCTTGGATTCAGGAGACTTCTCGTCGACCTCCAGGGCTTTGGGGAGAGCCTCCATCGTCACAGCTCCTCAGGACCCGGCATGTGGGACTGCAGCAGTTGGAAGCAAGGGCAAAGCCAAAGGGTTCCTCACACACCTTCCTGCTCTCAGCATCCGCCTCCAGCCCGGCCTCCGTGGAGGGTCAGACAGGGCTTTTGTGCTGAAGCCAAAGGAAAATCAGATGAGAGCCACATAAAATAGAAACCACTCAAGCTGGTATGTGTTCTTCTTGCCAGAGACAAATATTATATCATCTAATCAAGTGTTTAGTATTTAAAACTGGGAACAGCAGTGCCCATTGAGCCAACAAAATCAACAGTTTACTGATTGGCATCATGCTTTCAGACTCAATAGCTTTCTAGCTCTGTGATCTTGAGTGAGTTACTTAATGTCTCTGCCTCAATTTTCTTATCTATAAAATGGGATAATAGTACCACTTGTAGGGTTTTCAAAAGGGTTCAATGAATTAAGACATGCCATGCATTGGAACAATGTCTAGCATATTGCAAGCCCTCCACAAAGGGTATCATTTGTCCATTAGAGTACTGATCCTTAATACATAGTCGTGTGCGTGCGCACGCACAGGTGTAGTGTCTGCTAGTGCCAGGCGCTGCCCTAAACAATCTTTCATCAAACTGGAACCTCACCATACCCCTGGGAGGTAAGCATCCTATTTTACAGATGAGAAAACCAAGGCTCAGAGAGGTGAAGCAAGTGATCACAAGGTCGGATTAAACCCAGTCTGCTCTTCTCTGACAACACGGGCTACATATGGGTTGGAGCCCATCTTTCAGTGCAGCCTGGGATTTTGTGTGCTTTGTCAGCACAGGAAGTGATGCCTCTGCTTCAGTGTGACCTTTAACATCTAAATGACCCCTTTTCCCACCGCCCGTGTGAATCACATCAGATTCCCACCTTTCTGTTCTTAGGCCCGGAAGGGTATAGAGCAGCGGTTCTCAACCTGTGGGTTGGGACCCCTTTGGGGGTCGAATGACCTTTTCACAGGGTCGCCTAAGACCATCGGAAAACACATCTATAATTACATATTGTTTTTGTGATTAATCTCTATGCTTTCATTATGTTCAATTTGTAACAATGAAATTGGGGGTCACCACAACATGAGGAACTGTATTAAAGGGTCGCGGCATTAGGAAGGTTGAGAACCACTGGTATAGAGCGAGCCCAACTGCCTATTCCTACACCCCATCAGTGTACCTCACAGCTACCAGCGCTCTCTCGTCCCCCAGTCCCATGGGGAGGCAGGTGGTCACCTGTGCAGAGCAATGCCACTTGCTGAGAGGCAACACTCACCTGCCAAATACTCCTCCAGAGCCACGCTGGCTCAATCGCCATTAAGGTGGGATTAACCCCTTTCATTCCATGATTAGAAAGGATGGGTTCAAGTGCAAATGCCTATAGGTTTGCAAGTCAATAAGAGATGAATGCTTTTAGACACTCTCCTGGTATTAGACACTCTCTGGGGTGGGGGGTGGGGGGGGGGAGACCAGCAGAGTCCAGACACCCTTCCCGAGGTCATCGCCACGTGATTGCCCTGACTCCTCTTTGCATGATCTCCAGAGGGTCCGGGGCAGCGCTGTGCCCTAGACTGAGATTCCGTACAGCTTTAATCAAATGAGGGAGAGAATGAAGAACTTCCTTTCTGTCCCCCCCCTCCCATTGCACCCTTCCCTCTCTCCTTTTTCTTCCTCCCTTATTCCCATCCACTGGTCACCAACAAGTCCAGCTTTCCTGACAACACTGCTATACCCACTCCCTTCTTCCCGGAGGAGCCTAGTGCCTCCCTGCGCACGCTCAGGTGCGCTGTGCTGGGGGACCAGGCCGGCCACTCTCCCCTCTGTACCCTGGATCCACAGCCTCTCTTGCTGCTTCCTGCAGGGCCCCCGCCTGCCTGGGAGGAGCTCCCCAAGCAGCTCTCTCCTCAGCCTCTGCTCTTCTCCCTCCTCTGATCAGCTGCCTTTGGGCCTTGGTGTCTTCTCCCCTCCCCCGCCAGGTTCCCCGGGGCCTCTGACCCCATCGGCCCCACTCAAACCAGCAGTCACTAATATCCCTCCTGTGAGTGGGATGGGAGAGATTTCTCATCACAGCAAAAAGTTTATTGGGAGAAAAAGTGGGCTATTCTTCCCAGTCACAATGGGTCCCCCTGACCCACCCCAAACAGAGTGAGGACCAGACCCAAATGGGAGGGGGGTGCATTTTTGGCAAATGTGGCCCCAGCCCTGGTGAAAGACAGCTTGGGGTCAAGGAGATGGTGTCTGCAGCGGTGGGTCCCAAGCCCCAGCCCTCTGCACCTGCAGTTGTGGGTTGTCCTTCAACACTTCCTACAATGTTAAATTCAGGCAAATCCCCTCAACAGCCACCCCTGAACCACCACAGGGTAGTGTTCCCCCCTCCCCAAAGCACAGGTTCCCCCTGTCCAGAGCAGCAGGTGTAGGCGCCGCCCCTGAGGGAGGGAGGAAGGGGAATGATGAAATTGTGCCTTCAGCCGGTGGTGTTCATTCATAGACACTCGTCTGGAGGAGGAGCTTGGGTTGCTGCCTCCAAAGGCTGAGGAGGAGGATGACGCGCTTCGGAAGTGCGACAGGTGTTCGCCTCCCTTCAACCCCGCGGAGCATTTGCAAAGCTAAGCGGTCATTTTAAAGTGACCTCTTCCCTGGTGGGCTGGGGGCAGGAGAGGGGTCACAGGCATGTTAGGAAATCTTAGCCAGGAACCTTGCCTTGGTCATTGCCACCTGGTTCCTTAGGTGGGCAGCCTGACACCTTCAGGAGGGTTTTCGCTGGGTCACCATTTCCACCACTTTGCGGGGAAGGCCTAAGGCAGAAGGGCTCGCTGCTCAGAGGCTGCAGAGGTTATAATGGGGAATCTGGCTGTTCTCCACGGTGCGGTGCGGGAGGAGAGCTGGGCTGAAGGAGGAAGGGCTGCGCCCCTGAGCTACCCTCGGGGTGTGAGGTGGCCACTGCATCATGAACAGGAAGTGGGCAACTGGGGATGGGACCCCTGCCAGGAATAGCAGATTCCCGGACGCTGAGGGAGGCGGAGGGACTGCCTGGCCTTGCTCGACTGCCTGGTGGAGGGATGCTCTTTATCCCTGTGAGGAGGTCATTAATGTATTCCCAGTTTATAACAGCAGAAACTGAGGTCCAGAGAGGTTCAGGGCGAGGCCGCAGCCCCCCACTTCCCATGCGGTTGTGCTGGGACTCAGGCCATGGCCTTTGGACTCAAAGCTCCTTGCCCAGAGCACACTGGTCTGGATGAATCCTGAGTGTCCCTCAGCTCTGACAACGTCTGAATTTTTTCACTGTGGGGCTTCATTCTGCAGTAAACTAGCCTCTTCCTGAAGATGAGTGCCGTAGATAAGTAATTGAACAGTGACTCAGCATACAACAGGCAAATAAGGTCACTGCTGTTTTCCATAGTGATACATTTATTTAATTTAAAGGACTATTTTTACTCTGAGATTATGTTCTTCCTTCCCTGTTTGGCATTGCTTCATTTTATGAAATGGCCATGAGGGAAGATGATCGTTGGTTTTGTTAGTATCTGTATTTGCCAAGGTAAAAGGTTGACTAGCCTGTGCAGATGTCTGCCTATCTATTATCTCTATCTATCTATCTATCTATCTATCTATCTATCTATCTATCATCTATCATCTATCTATCTATCATCCACATTTATTTAGCTATCATCTATCATCTAAATTCTAATGGCCCATGAAATCCCCCAAATGGGAACTTTTAACTTAGTTTACTTACTGCCCTGGCCAGGTGGCTCAGTCAGTTGGAGCGTCCTCACATATACCAAAAGGTTGTGGGTTCGATTCCCAGTCAGGATACAAATGTAGGTTGTGGGTTTGATCCCAGGTTGGGGCATGTAGGAGAGGCAGCTGATAGATGTTTCTCTCTCACATTGATGTCTCTTCCTCCAAGCATGTCTTCAGGTGAGGATTAAATAAATAAATAACATTTAAAAATAGAATTGGTTTTTAAAATGCCTCTCTCTCTTAAAAGAAAAAAAAAATCAATGAAAAACATGCCCTCGGGTGTCAGGTGAGGATTGAAAATAAACCTAGGGGACCAGGAAGAGGTGTGCCCGTGGGATAGTGAATGGCAGGCAGGGTGTGGCCATGGAATGAACACTGTACTGGGAAGAATCACTCCTTCACAGGCCCGGCAAGCACTTAACTTACTTGCAGTGCCTGCATGCGACAGAAAGATCTGGAAAGATTGTGTTTCAACCCAGTTTGCCTTTCTGAGCTCTGGGACTTGGGGCAGGTTACTTACCACTCTGAGGCTTGCTAGCGCCACGCAGGAGATACGGATAACAGAGTATCTGTCTCCCAGGGGTGGGGTGACTATCATCTCTCACACAACCCTGCTGAGTGTGTGACACATCCCAGGCGTCTAAGTGAAGGCCCTGTTGCTAATAAAATTATTGTCTTTCTTGGTCCCTATTTCCTCATTGGTCTCTCGAAGAGGTTGGGCTGAGAGACTTCTAAAGCTGCTTTAGATAGGCCCACGGGTGGTGAATCACAGGTGAATTCTGAGAATGCAGGCTCCCTGGAAATCACCCCCTGGGGCCGTATGTGTCTTATAACTTTTTATTAAAACCCTAAAAGAGTCTATATTTTTCTGATACGAGGGATTCTCAACAGGGCACTACTGATGTCTGGGCCAATAACTCTGTGGTGGGCACTGTCCTGTCATTGTAGGGTAGTTAGTAACATTCTGGGCTCTACCCACCTTTTAGCAGCGGTTCCCCGCTTCAGTCATGATAATGGAAAACATCTCCAGGCACTGCCAAGTGCCCCTGGGGGGCAAAACCAAGCTGGTGAAGAACCAGTGCTGAAGGTTGGCCTTCCCTCCCTCCCTCCCATCTTTCCTCCCTCCCATCCTCCTCGCTTGCAAACTGCCTCAGGGCCAAGGCTGAGTTTACTCACCTCCACCCAACAGTGACCCAGGGTGCACAGCCTGGCCCTGCTGGAGGATTTGGCCTTGACGCTGCCGCTCTGTGAGGGACCTGGCAACACCTGGGAGCTGGTCCCTTGGGAAGAGCCATGCTTTCGGGTTTGGATTAAGTTTTGGGGCCTTGGGTTGAATGGGTCCCTAGTCACCTGCAGTGGGCTCAGCTGTCCACCCAGAACCTCAGCATGTGACCCTAACTTGGAATAAGGGTCTCTGCAGGTGTAATTAAGGTAAGGATCTCCAGGTGAGAGACAGTGGAAGGCCAGAGATGCGGGGCCCCCTGGACTACCCACAGATTTGAATGTTGGCTCAGCCCTTTGGGCATCAATTTCCAAAGGGAGAATAGGTCCTACTCCC